CAAATTTGAATAGAAAAGGAGAATGAGGGTAATCCTGACGAGCACTTTCCGTGGTAAACTCGGGTGAAAAAGTGCCATAAGCCCGGAATCGACTTCGACTATTCGTATGAAGCGATGGTAATGTGGGCACACCTTTCAGAGAAAGGCAGTGCCAGAGTTTAGAGCGGTCGACTGAGTCAAATGACGCTTTCAGATCCAGGAAGACAGAGATTGTGGGTCTACCAAAGAAATGTTGGTGCTAGAGTTTGGCGAGAGGTGAAGATGTTGTCAATACAACCTCGACCAGGTCTAAAACAAGCTTGGTTCTCACACGTGCACTCTTTACGTGCAGCAGACAATCAACGGAGTATGATCCCAGCGAGAAGTTTAGAAGCAATGCTGATTAAACTAATTCCTCTGTGATTTTCACAGGAGGATCTGTCACCTTTCTTGTAAATCGGTATGATGACCTATTCACCATCCAGTTGGAACCTGTTCGCTCTCCCACACTGAGCCCAGGATTTTCCTCAACTCCAAAACCAAGGCTAAACCTCCATCCCGTCTGGGCCGGAGGCCTTATGTCTTTTGAGATCGCTTATTTCCCGGGAAACCTCCATTTCAGATGGAGGACTAGCATAAACTGACAGTATTTACGCAGTCGCCGTGGAGGGTGATAGTTCAGATGTCGATGGGGACCAGTTGAACTGAACTTCGAAAGGTTCAGTCCATTGATCAAGACGGTGTTGCTGATCGTGAATCAGCGTGCCGTCGGATTCCTTAATTACCTCACTTACGCATATTTTCCTGGGGCCCGTATTCCTAATTAGATGGAAAAGATTGCGACTATTACCAATAGTCGCAACCTTCTCCATCTCTCTTCACTTTCCTATCCACCACTTCTCGCGGTCGTTCCTCAGACTCTTGATGAGCTGGCGTTTGTGGGATTTGCGCGCTGTCATATGTAGCATCAGGAGGAAGGGTTCTGCGGGCGTCCGGCAGTGCAGCCGAGGTCAATGAGATCCATTGTGTGTTTTAAGCCTGCGCGAGGGTTTGACGTTTCTTTTATTGACATTTGAATAGCTTCCTTGATTTAACTCGTGTTCATTGAGTCCTTCGGCTGGTGGTTGAACTGGCAGGCGATCGGAGAGTTCTGCTTCGAAGGCTGATTTGCAACTAATGCTGGTGTAGCACCGTGGGTATCCGTTGTCGGCGGCTCTTTTACGGTTGTTTGCCAGGCGTAAGGAGAATTTGGCTCGTAACAAAGCGTGGTCTATATCCACAGCTGTTGACCAGGAAGAGCGGTAGTCTTGAATCGATCCCCTCCAGCGGTAACTGATGGTGATGTGGTCGATTTGGGTCCAGCGCTGTGAAGAGGTAGGTGGTTTCCATGTAATGTGGTGTCGTTTCTTGTGAGAGAAGTTGGTGCTCGAAAGGAACAATCCGTGGTCCGCGCAGAGTTGAA